ACCAACTCGATGGCACTTAACAACAACAGCAATGGCACCTAACAGCAACAACAATGGGGAATGGTTATGAACATCTCCTCATGTATCTGTTACTCACTGCCACCAAGTGAATTCTGACTCACAGAAACCCTATATAGGGGTTTCGTTATGGAAGCAGATAGGCTCATTTTCTCCTGAGGAGTGACAGGTGGGTTTGAACCACCGGCATTGTGGTTAGCAGTCCAATGCCTAACCCACAGCATGACCAGGGCTCCTTTCATGTATTTTATGTATTTCATATAGCTGCCTGAATGTGTTCTTTGGTGAAAGATCTGTTCGTGTCATTTGCCCGGTTTTTCATTGGATTGTTTGTCTTTTGGTTGTTGAGTTGTTGAAGAGTTCTCTATACCCTTGAAGAGATTAGACCCTTGGCAGGTATGTTATTGCCAAATTTTTTTTCCTTATCTGTAGGTTATCTTTTACTTTTTTGGTGAAGTCTGTTGGATGATTATAAGTATTTAATTTTGAGGAAGTCCCAGTTATTTAGTTGATCTGTTGTGTATTTTGTAGTATATTTATGCCATAGATTAGGATCTCTGGTTTTGTCTCTATATATTATTTTTATATAGATATAATTCCATATGCCTATGCTTTAATACTAAGGTGATTAAAAAAGTATAGGGAAAATAATAATGGAAAGATAATTGAATTTTTCCACAAACATTTTGAGGCTCTCTCATATGTAGTGTACTTAAGTAATTTCATAGTACAGATTCATATTCTAGCCTAACATTATTCAGGCAATCAAAACTTTATTGAAGTACTTTTATTATGGAATATTTGAAACACACACAGAAATAGTAGACTGAATCATATATCATTTGTCTACAAAGTGGCCTCTATAATTATTTTCAAGCCAATCCTAGCATGTCATCACTTTATCTGTAAATATTTCAGTATAGAATTATAAAAGATAAGGACTCCTTTTAATGGAACTATAAACCCATTTTCATGCCTAAAAAAGAAAAAGTAATTTCTTAATCTCTAGTTATTGTTCATGTTTTTTTTTTTTCCTTATGGTTGGCTTGTTCAGCTCAGAATATATTGCAATTGATTGACTTACAACTGGTTGTCTTTCTTGTGTATGTGTGATGTTGTCAAGGATTTATTATTTTGTTATGGGTTGTAAATTATGACATTCTTATTTACTTCTGTAATTTTTCTTTATTAGTTTGAATAACTTAAAAAAATTTTAAATATACTTAAAAAAATAATGGTATTGTTGTTAAATTCTGTCATGCTGATTCCGACTCATAGCAAGCCTGTATAGAGTTTCTGAAGCTTTAAATTTTTGCCAGGAGCAAAAGCCTCCTGTTTATGTCATGGAGCAGCTCGTGAGCTTGAACCACTAACCTTGTGGTTCCATAGTAGTTGTTGTTGAGTGCCATCAAGTCAGTTCCAACCCATAGTGACCCCTGTATAGGGTTTCAGAAGAGTGACTGGTGTGCTTGAATCACTAACCTTACAGTTCAAACTGACTTTATAGTCCAGTGCATTAACCCACAGCGCCACACCAGGACTCCAAAAACATGGTATAGATTACCATTTTTCATTGTGATCATTTACGGAAATGTTAAGACAATCTGTTCTGACTCATAGTGACTCTGTGTATGGTTTCTGAGGAGCGACTGGTGAATTTAAACCACTGACCATATTGGTAGTGGTGGTCTACCATGGAATTGGTTCTGACTCATAGTAAACATATTAATGATATAGAATTCTAAATACTGAATTTGAAATGCCTTATGGTCTCTGAATAGGTTTCCTTCTATGTAAATGTGGTGGTGGTTATGTGCTCTGGAGTCAGTTCCGACTAATAGGGGCCCTGTATAGGATTTCCTAGGCTGTAAATCTTTATGGGAGCATAAAGTCTCTTCTTTCTGCCATGGAACAGCTGGTTGTTTTGAACTGCTGACTTTGAGGTTCGCAGCCCAATTCGTAACCACTACACTACCAGAGCTCCTTTCTATGTAAATATAAACCTTAAATACTTCTTAAGTAATGTTCTGACTTCTGATTTCTCTCTGAATCTGATTTTTGCTAAGATATGCTAACTGGTATTAATCATTATGTTTTTTTTTCCCTATTTTATATTTTAACAGGAACGAGGGGGGATAATGTCACTTACAGAAGTTTACTGCTTAGTAAACCGTGCTCGAGGAATGGAAGTAAGAATTGAACATTTAGATAGTCTTTTTTTTTTTTTTT